ATCTTGGCGAGCCAGACATGACCAATCTGATACGCTCCCAGACCGGCCAAGCATTGCAGCACCCCCACCTGGTTTAAAGGAGGCACGAAATCTTCTGCCCTGTAAGGCCGTGCACCGGTATCACAATGCAGGGCTACGCTGTTCTTTATTATTTCCCCTGTTGACAGCGTCGCCAAAACAACAGTGTCATCCCGGGCGGCATTGCCCTTATCCGAATCAACCCGGCCAAGACCTGTTGTTATCGCCGCTCCTGACGAGCGATCCATCGCACGTCCGCTCTGCTCGGCAGCCGGAAGTGGACTCCATTGGCCACGCGCTCGCTCGGCAACGCGCGTGGCAATATTAATTGAAACCTACTTTACATCAAGGCAGAAACAATGCAAGAAAACTTACTTTGGTTTATCGCTAATCTCCGGCTTCTGCGAATTAAAAAAAAAAAAAATTTCGCAGCTTCCAAACGATCATTCACTGATGCACGACGGACAACGTACCAAACTGCAGATCTAAAATACGCAGGAGGTCTTACAGAAACTAAATCACATTTTTATAATCATGCACTAAATAGCATGTTAGCAACTAATCGCAAAAAATTTCGGAATGTCCTTAATTCCAAATATGAGTCTAACCTTGGTCTTCAGTCATCTCATGGCAGAGATATACCAGTAACTCAAAGTGCAAGTGCATTAAATTATGTTTTTATTATGTCGTTTACAACCTCTAATGTTAACCAAGTACCGGTATTGTCGTTTCCTACTTTTTTGTCTATGAACCCAGTAACGGTTGACGCGATTGCTGTGGCTGGCATTATTAAAAAATATCAAGCTTTCATCCTGCACCCGAATAGATGGGATTCATAGCTAGTTTTTAAAAATTGTACTATGCAGTGTTCAATAATTCTCTCAAAACTATATGTAGTCTTTTATCCATCGCGTAGTCCTAAGTGATTGGGTGGTTGGAAGGGTGGTCCCTTTACACAAATCTGGGAAAAAACAAAACCGATCCAAATATCGACCAACAACAAGTGTGCCCTGTAAAATGTTAGAACACGTCATTTATTCGCAGTTTTGTAAATTATCTTGAACCTAATGACTTCAAAAGTTCACAGCGAGGCTTTAAAAGAATTTTTATGTGAGACGGAGTTACAATCCTTCACGCATGATTTCCATAATTTTTTGACAATATTTATGAAATTATCTTTTATCTTACAATTTTTCAAAAGCCTTCGACAAAGTTTTCTATAAGTTCCTTCTTCATAAATGAAAGTCACTTAGCATTGATTCCTGTATAATAAATTGAATTCATGCCTTTTTAACTAACCGACTACATTTCGTTACTGTTAATAATATGAATTATTGTACTGTTCCAGTCACCTCACGTGCCCCACAGGGCCCAGTGCTTGAACGCTATTCTTTCATATTTACATGAATGACTTGGTGCAGAACTTGTTTTTTTTATTTTTCATGTGCCTCTCCGCTGACGATTGCGTAATATACCGGAATATATCTGAGATTATTCTGCTACAATCTGACCTTAATCATACATCACTGTGGAATAACAGTCGTTAACAAAACCAAACACTGAGAAATGTAAATTGTTGAAAGTGTCACGCGCTCAACCGGTGCATATTACCATCATCTTGTCAGAAATCCTCTCGCTTCAAAGTATGTTTACAAATATATTGATGTTCATTTAACGTGTAACCTTTCTTGGAAGATGCATATTAAATACATATCTAACAGTGCTAACCGTATGCTAGGATATTTAAAAATAAATTTCTTTGTGGCTCTATTTTCCGTAAACGTGTACGAAACCATAATCAATCCAAATTTAGAATATGCTGCTGCTGTGTGAGACCCCACTCACTCGTCACTAATTGTTCTTATTGAATTCATTATAAACCACTCAGCTTGTTTCATATCGACTATTATTGCACTGCCAGCGTTTTTGCCATGAAAAAACACTTTAGGTCTGCCGTTACTAAATCACTGCCGAAAAATCCCTCGTTTGCGTCTTTTTCATAAAATATATAATCAAAATATTACCGTTCGTTATAAACATATTACTCTACCATTCTACATATCAGCTCGCATAGATCATATCCATGAGGTTGGTATTCCAAATGGTAGGACTTCACAATTTCAAGATTATTTTATGCCTCAAACATCGATAGACTGGAACTACCTTACCACCTCCATGCTGTTGTGACTCCTCGGGCAGGGCCAGGCCAGGACCGGATCCGCAGGACGATTCCCGGCAGGAACATCACGAGACGAGATGGTCTCTCGCGACAAACTCTGATTTAATATATATATACAAGTATCTACATCGCCTGAGAGCACACTTGTGACCCCTTGTGGGCTCCTTTTATCGGGTCGCTCTTCGGTGCTCCAGGAGTTGGCAGCCAATGGTGGCCGAGCTGCCAGCAAACGTCATGTCCAGGCCCCGACCCATTCATCCCCCGAGCACGCACACACGCACACGCTCACCCTGCAGCGGCGGCCGGGCTTCACCTTCCGGCGCCGAAGTACTCTTTCCCTAGAAAGCCTCGCCGAGGAGGCCATGACAAAGGGTTCATTGTCCACCCGGGAGACGACGTTGGCCGAGATAAGTGACGATCCCTGGTTTAGGCGGCGAAGTGGTTCAGGAAAGGGTTTGGGCGGATTATCCGTCAGTAGCTTCGGAGGCTAATCCGACCGAAGCACACCCACGAAGGTCCCGCAGCCGGCGCGCCGTCACCCGGAAACTTCTCCCGGTAATCCCCCGGGTTCCAGTGTCGAGTGACCCCGTTTCCGGCCAACGTAATCCCAGCCAGGAGAAGGATCCGGCTCAGCCTCGCTCCTAAATGTGGCGACGTCCACACGGTTCCGGGCTCAATCTTCCCGGGGAACGAAGGGTAAAGTGCAGGAAGGGTGTTTCCCGTCGCAGACGTAACAATGCTAACATCACTGATATTGTTTGTTTTATTTATACATGCTATTATTAATATGTGCACTTCAAGGTTAATATTTTACAGCTCTCTCCCATCTTTAATGTACTTACCTTGAAGGTTTTTGAAACAAATAAATAAATAAAATTAATATAAATAAACACAGCGTAACAAATCATAACGCACACAAAATGCACCCCCGGCACAGCTTATAGTGGTCCAATGGTTTATCAGAATATTAAACAATGGGCCTGTTTTTTTTCTTTTTTTACTTTGAACGGTATTATTAGACTTTACTGCTGGATTTGACGCAAGTTGGTTACAAATTTGAAGCAAAATGGCAGGCACATAATACCAAATTACGATCAAAAGCTGATAGTAGAAAGGGTATACCTCCACGTTTTGGTTTAGGGCACAGTATATCAGGCTTTTATATCATTTAACGATATATCTTTTAATGACAGAGATAGAAAAATAACTAATGTAGCAGCAGCAGCACACATACCCACTAAAAGTTTGTTCCGCCATTTGTGTTATAACAATTTTACATTGCTGATCTTCGCTGCGTCACTATCGAGGGTATTGCTATTTTAGCCATGAAGGAGCTGCGAATACTTTTTTCTGAACTCATTGGGTTGGGAATGTCAATTTCAGTTAGAATGTCATTAACCTCTTACTTGAGAAAGTAAAAAATGACATACAGGACGTATCTCATTCTTTAAAATTGACTTTATATATATACTTCGTTTCAGCTTCAGTCCAGACGCAGCCGATGCTACAAGCGCGAGCATGTGACCCAGAACAGTGCAAGCACTGCACGAGCGCGCGTGCTTGGCAGGGATGCTGAAAGCCCGGAGCTCGCGCTTGTAGCTTTGGCTGCGTCTGGACCGAAGCTGAAACGAAGTATAATTATCACCCGTACAACAAGTAAAAGTTACTCCTCGCCATAAAAAAGATTATAATGGTGTTTATAGTGTTGATGACGCTCAAGGCCGCTGGTGTTAGCCCTGTGACAAAATTTACAGACAAAAAAACATTTGTGTAGCAGGGACAGGTGTAAAAATTCTCCGTAGATCGGATGAACTCAGTTAGCAATTTTTTTTTAAGATAAGATCTTAAAGTTTTAGAATGAACTTTCAGCTTCTTAACTAGAACAATCTTCGGATTTTCCGAATGTTTGCCACTTGAACTTTGATGGTATCGGAAACCGTCAAACACGAGCTTTCTAAAACCTCGAAGCTGCCTGCTTCGCGTATTTGTAGTTTGGAGGGATTCGAAAGTTAAAAATTTTCGAACTGGAACCTTTGCTTTTTGGCGACAATTCCAAATATTTTCAGGTTCTCTCGTACTGGATACGGGCCTCCAGCACCAAAGTTCCAAGATAAACGCAATGCCACGTGACGGGAGTATAGCAACCGCCGCAGCAGTGACAACCAATTCCGACATATGGCCTTAACTTGCAACCAACGAACAACTGAGTGGCCAGATGCCCTCATCACACTGGTGTAAGCATGGGGTGAAGAGCGGGTCACCGCCCAAAAAGTGCCAAAACATGGCGTGAAACGGCCCTGTTCTTCAACGAGTAGTGGGGCTTCCTGGTTATTACTGGACGCCCATAGAAAATTCCACTAAAGAGCTTCTAGTAGGCGCCAATTTGGGAGATCGTGAGTAGGGCGCGTGTCTTGCATCGTGTGCATATTCTAAATATTTAACCACCTTGAAACAAAGAATAATCGCAAGAAACTGATTTCGTGAGGAATTGTACGTTTTATTCATTTTCTTCTTCATTACAGGCCACGCCTGCATGAAGACTTTAAGGGGCTACATGCAATAATGGTACGAAGTTGACTCGAACCGGTTTTTATATTTTGGACCCCGTAGGGTAGAGATTGTAGTTGCGCAACTTTATTTTTGTCGACGTAATGTTTTAGGTAATTACTCCCGTCATGCTGAATAAAATTATAACCTTCGACCAGCACTGCAGGAAAAGATGGGGTCCCCTCCTGTACGGGAAATGCACTCTTGCAGTTGTGCTACTATTACACATTGCCCGTCAATTGTTGATGAGATATCACTATTCAAAGCATCTACAGAATTGGTTCTTGTAGCCGCCGCATCTGTAGCGTTTGCTTATTAGGTTTTTGGAGCACACGTATTGGCATCCCTGAGGATTATTCGGGCAACCCACAAGGATACCTAGAAAGTGAGAGATCAGCATCAGTACTTACATCTTGTATACCTTCTTATAGATAAATCATGATGCTTTCCAATTTCAGAATATGAGTGCATTCAAAAGGCAGAAACCGGCTAACACTTCGGGACCATAAAAAAGACCGAAATAAGCCTTTTCAGACATTATTTATAAAGACCACTACCCAGCTTGAAGAAAACAAAACGTGGCGAGTCCCGATCGCCTGATTGTTGTTTTTGCTTCACGAAATTGCGTATTTCTTGCGAAACATCAAGCGGCGACATGAGAAGACACGCCCTGTGTTTCTTAATTAGAGACCATAAAACCTGTCTATGGTTTGCCATAATTAAACTCACAAGGAATAGAAGCGTTAAATATACACTTCACATTATACTCTGATACAAAATAGATTGTGAGTTTACCTTTATGCAGAACACGAAGAAGGCCCATCACGGCAAACATTAGAAGAATATATGTGTGAATGACGGACGCTGAGAAGGTCACTGGCACACAAAGAACCAATGTCCGCAGGGACCATAGGTAGATCGAACGACCATTCAATCGCCCCTGCACAAATTGCTTTCTCTAAGCTAATAGCATTTCGAGCAACGCCATAGGCTCGAATGCCTCTATCGTTCTACGTCATTGGCGGTCTCCGTGTTCTGCACGACAGTGAACTCAAAGACGGCATTTCGCATATTGCTATAGGCACTGAGAGGCTAAGACACGCCGGATGTGGTTGATTACGTTGACGCTCAGTGCTTCCTGTTTTGTTTTCTGACGTGGTTATCGGCCATTGCCGTAGTCTGATTGGCTGTGAAGAGATGGTAAGATGGTGGGAACTCGCCAAGCGCGGCGTTCCTGAAGCGTCATTGGCTGGAGTATAGAATTCAGTTTGCAACGAGAAATCCATTTTGGAGAAGAAACGTCCCTAACAAATCGGTGCCTTCAATTCTGGCTCGGTCTGTCTCTCAAATATGAAAGCTTGATCGCAGAAAGAGGAAAGAGTGAGGGAGAGGAAGAGACAGGAGTGCGAGGGGACATCAGAATGCCGAGCTCTGATTGGAACGATTAGTGGGTTGACCTGAACCTAGCTGCCTCTGTCTCCACTGCACTCGTCGAATGCGTTAGAAGGCGGAACGCCGGCGTCCGGTGTTTGGATCACGCATTCAAACTCATTCGACGAGTTCATTGCAAGGAAAGGCAGCTTGTTTTAGGCCTACCTACTAATGATTCGAAACAGAGCTCGCCGGTCTGACGTCCGCACACGCTCTTGTCGCCTCCTCTCCCTCAGATTCTCGGAGCATTGATTCCATAGCTTTTGAAGTGCAACGAGTGCGTGAATAGACAGATTGAAATAAAAAAAAAAAACGAAATTAATGCATGCATAATGTCGAAAAGAAAGGTATGTGGGTCTGCTCCATAAACCACTAAATTATCCACTCGATAAAGAAAAAACTTTAAACCTTAACGTCCTCTGAAAAACTCTATGCCAAGACTTGCTACTGTTCAAGCGTACGAAAAAAAAAAAAAAGTGCACCTTGAACGAGCACCGTTTACAGTAGAAATAGATACCACAAATTATAACTAGATTTACGTCGCTCCTACTCACGCAGATCCTACGTGTTTCCTTGTTTCCTAGAGCATTCAACGACCATAGGAAATCCTCAAACAGTGGTTTCACTTTTAAACACCGCACCGAGCACAACGTGGTCAACTCTATGTTTGTCGCCTCTGCCAAAAGCCTCCCAGTCGCCTTCAAGTCTAGATTATCTACACACGTGGACTGAGCTTCCGCAGAGCGACGATGGCCCTAGAGACTAAAGCCTAGAAGACATATGCCATCGAATCTTGAGGGGCATCACCTAGGGCCGATTTTGAAATCATTTATTTGCTTTTAAACATTGCCTGTTTTGCATTTAGAGGGCCACAATGGGGGTGCATGGTGAGCGAAGACCTCCACGGCAGGATTAAAAGGGGTGTGTAACAATTTTCGAACTTCTGGTTGATAGGTGTGGGACTTAGACCCTACCACCTGTCAAATATTTAAAAAAAGATAGTTTTTTTGATGCCTGCTATAGTTTGTTTTTATTTCAAAATAACAGTAGATTGAATAATGTGGCCGAGGCAGCCCACCCCGACCAATTTTAACTCGTACACCGCCTTCCGGGTAATGTGCCTGTCAGGTGGTCGTGAAGTCAAATGGAGAGGAAAGTTTCTGGTTTCGCTGAGAGTTTCTTCGGTTTCGCTGCAGGAAGACTAAACTCTCTTCCCTTCCTTTTCTTTCATCCTCCAATGACCAAGATGGCGTATTGAAGTGATGGGTTGAGCGAGATCGAGCGTGAGATGCTCGTTTATAGCGAGTTCGCTGGACTCGTTCCCTGCTCGGGCAGCCCGACGAAACGGGAGCGAGGCGTCGATGAGCGCGACGACTCCGTGAAAGGCAAACGAAATTATGAAACTGACTCGAGTCTCAAACGGGTATCTTTCAAATCTTCCCAGCGTCGCGAAGCACACTTCTTGCGCGAACGTAGTTGCGATTTCCGTCGTAATGATCACAGCAGACACAGAGCTCGACCTGTCCCTGGTCACTCTTCCAATCCCCACACCGGTCAGATTGGAGTAGTTGTTCAGTGCGTGAAATGTGAGACCCGTTGATTCTTCCGCGATCTCGTAGCTGAGGGCTGCCCGAAGAACGTTTCGGACACAACGGAACAACCTGCACCCGGTAGGCATATAATAGGGAATTGTAGTAGACCGTTTTTCTCCTCCGCTATATACCGTATCCCGGAAGAAAACGCCGCAGCCGCGCATGCGCGCCGCCAGCCTTCTCTGCATAGTTCAAGGTCTTGTGGCGGATTACGGAGCGCTATCCGGGTGCTTAGCGGGCTGCGGGAATGGTCTACTACAATTCCCTAAAGACCATTTGCTGTATTCCCATGCGCCGCGGCCCGCACTCAAGGATTCATGGGAACGGTGTTCCTTCACCTCTCTAGTGATCGCTAATTTTGGACCACCTCCACGTTTACACAGGTTCTGAGCGTAATTCGAGGTCACCGTGAACAAGCACCTGATATACCCCAAGGACCTGTCATATAACTTTTAAAATTGCTCGTCAACGTCAGCATTTTTGATGCTGCGCATGCGATCCACCTTTCAACCTGGATGAGCTGCAGAAATCTCTTACAATATTATCATTTTCGTGATTGTTTTTTGAGCAGGGATTGCTTTGAAAGCCGATTATTCACAACAACAAAAACCAGGAATTAGCTTGGAGTTCGCGGGGCTGTTTATACAATTTTTAGCGTTTCTAACTTAATATCAGCATGATAGTAATGTAAGAGATTTCTGCAGCCCATCCAGGTTGAAGGGTAGACAGCATACACAGTATCAAAAATACTGACATTGAAGAGAAATTTTAATATAGATATGACAGGTCATTGGGGTATATCAGGCGCTTGTTCAGGGTGACTCCGAATTACGCTCATAGCTGGTGTAACCAAGAAAAGGGTTGAAATTACCGATCAGTAAGGGTCTGAAGGAACACCGTTCCCATGATTCCTTTAGCGCGGACCGGGGCGCTTGGGGGTAAAGCAAATGGTCTATTGGCAACCTTTGCTGCGGTAGAACGCAGTCAATCTAAAGACTGGAAAACGAAAGCAACAGAAGTGCAGGCATCTCCTTTGCTTGTTTCACACGCCAGACACAGCCGCGGAGCAGACATGGTTTTGTTGATCTTCGATGGATGACGCCTCAAAAACTACGCATAATAAAATTGTGAGGATGATACGACGCTTTCCACAGATTCGTTTATGTCGACACAAGATTAATAACAATTAGTCCTATGTTTAGCAAGTGATTGCACAACTTGCCATTATATTACACGATACCCGTTTGACTTGATGCCAACGTCACGCCAAAGTCACGCCACGCGCCAACGTCACGCTGGTCGCTCTCTCTAGGTTCGATGACCACCGCCGTGCGGTGGTCACCCCCCCCCCCCCCCTAAAAAAAACAAAAAACAGTTTTAGTATTTTCAAGTACTTAGTGGAATAGCAACATTTCCGATGAGGTAAGGTGTTTTATTAAAGCTAGGAATCCAGGTTAAAAATTACAGGCCGCGAATTTTTGATACGCTAATATCGTTGCATGGTCCCTTTAACTTCGGGTTTGATTTCCCACCCGGTCAATTTTCTACGTGAACGCTCGCTGTAATGGCTTGCATTGGTGCAATCGTTACTTCGTGAGGTGCGCCTGTATCCCACTGAGACAGAGATTGTACCGCGGTCTTTGTGGGATGCCTGTTGACTTTTATGGTACACACTTTGAACTCAAACACTCGGCACGCCCACTGTAATCTCTCTAATTAGTTATCTATAGCAAAGAATATGTAGAAATAATTGATCTTGTGAGAAATTGAAATTTGTACTTACATGCGCATTGCCTGCCACCTGGACCGTCGCAAACGCCTTTAGTGCTCGCATTGAAAATTAGAAGGCAGGACAGATGGCAGTTAAGAAAATTTCCCGGGCAATCGGCTTTCCCATGAAGTATGTGCCCTGCAAAAGATCAATTTCGGTGGTTCCCTTCTTAAGGCGAAAGCCTTATATGCCCCATTACGCGAAAAAGAGTCAGTGTAGTGCCCAAACGGGCACAACACAGACGCATACGGGCCTGAGCAATGAAACACAAAGAAAAGCACAGCAACGCGGATGCTTCGTCACGGAAGCTGTGAAGACGGCGGGGGCGGCGCGCCTGCGTGGTGGCGGAGCTTGATGTCGCCTCCCGAAACATAAAATAAAGCGAAAACATTTCACCCGCGGGTGTTAAATGCTTTCGCATTCCTACATTTAAGTAATTTAAGTGTCTTCGGCGTGTTATGTAGTGGCATCTGTGAGGAGGGAGCACCTTTAACCAGAATAGTTTTTTTTATCGTATGTACAGGGCGCTTGACTATTATATCCCTGATTTGTTTTTTTTAATTTCCTGTTGAGGGGTGTCGATTATTTGGCGGCTGACTTTTCCAGGTGCTTATGAGGCTTAGCCGACCTTAGATGAAGAAACGATGAAAAGTGTCATTAAAGATGAGTTAGCCTGAGGTGAACTGTAACGTATTTTTGTCTCGTGAATCTGAATATCACGGTCGTTTTCCCCGAAGATATAACTAAACGCAGAAAACACGCAGAACATCCAACTAGTTGTTACGTCATACGAGAACTCTGCGGCCGCCAAGTGCGTGTCGCTCGTGTGGGCAGCGCCAAGTATATTTCCCCGCACTGGCAGCTGTCGTGACGTCTTTTTTGTTCCTTTTGTGAAGAGCAAGAGTGCGCGTGCATAGCTTTATAGGCGCTCAAGTTGCGCAAAACCGGAGATTCTGAAAACCCTTAATAGGACGTCACACTCCGGGAAGGACACTCGGACTTTAAAAATGATTTTCTGTAGCTTCCGTGCACACAATTGTAACATAATCTCGATATTCGTGATCCTGGAGGCCAAATAAAGACAATTTAAGGTTTCTCCTGAAACACAGAACAAATTGGCGTTTTAAGTGTCCAGTTTATAGGTAATGACGAAATTAGAGAAATGACGACGGTTACAAATAGAGGCTGAACCAATTGAAACACTTTCTGAATGCCAGCGGGCTTTGAGATATTCACGAATCCCTTTTCGTGTGTTCTGGTAAATGATTTTAGGACTGGACACAAAAACTCTGGTATCCAATGGCTCTAGGAAAAGTATAGTTCCAAGACTTTTGTTGAATTGCCTGTTTTGAAATATGCTTTTAATGTGACCTTCCGCGTGAATACCCTTTTGAAACTATTGCAATAAGCTCTAGAGAGTCCTAAAATGTAAAAGCAAAATCATAGCAACAAATAAAATAACTTATAAATATTAACTTCAAAACTTTCAACACTCACAATCTTGGCTGGAGCAGTGGCTTACAAATCCTGCAAAATTTGAAGTAGCGCATTTTTATGTCCTTTCCTGCGACTGTCTTTCTTAAAATGATTGCAAAGTTTGTGTGGAACTTACCCGTGACGAGAACCAACATTGCGAGTACAGATGCCTTCATGGTGAATCAGGAAGTACAATAATCTGACTGTAATAGGAAAAAAGACGACTTCATTTTGTATGTCTCTAAACTAACGTTGTTAAAGTTAAAATTGCAAAAGATGCAAAAAGCGCTTATTACAGTCCTCCGCAGTATATATTTATTTCCGGGTACCCCGCAGCGCCCGATACGTTATTGCAGGGAAAGGGTGAACAGAGTCTGCCAAAATAGTCACATAATTTTCATATACGCAGGATATACCACGAATTAACAAAAACACATTGCGTCAGCCGTGCCAATTCACCGCAAGGTAAAAACACAGACACACAAAACTCAAGTTGTTTATCGGTTCAAGCTTCAGAAAAGGTTATCCTATGAACAATGGGGCTGAATCTATCAACCACCTCCCTTTCATCTCCCGCCCTGTGCGCGTTGGTAGAGAACCTAGATTGCAGAGAGTGTCCATCACAAGCCATGGAATGCAATTTACTGGCGGATGCCTCCTGCGGAGGTTGGTCGCACGTGCAGATGCGCTGAGTAGACGCGTAGCTAAGAGGAAAGGCCGCTTGCAGACGACCAACGCGTTCGTCACCTCCTCGCCGTGCGTGCAGCAAACGCGGCCCATAGACCGCGGGACCCGATCGAGCAGTTGCACATTCACTCTGCTCTCTATGCGTGGGTATGCGCGTCATCATGCGGATCGACAACCGATTCGTCCATCGAGCACGTAGCCGTCTACAGGCCTGTTCGTTTAGGAATGAACGAAGTATAGAAGAAAGGAAATTTTATTTTAAAAAATCGGAGCGACCTTCACTTTCCGTTCTATATAGTGAATGAAATGCAGATTTTAGAAGCAATTGTTCCCGGAGTCAAGAACCTATATTTAAACGCGATAGCGTTTACGAGCTCGTGTCCCGAAAAATCTGACATCTATGTCGGAGTCCGTGTAACCGGAAATTCTTGATTGGCCGATAGGGCCACGACGTCACGGTCAAGTGTGACATCACACAACACGTCACGCGTGTGTCGTCAAGCGACATGACCTCGCGGGAGAACTTCACATCCAGAACGCTCACGTGTGACGTGGTGTGATTCGTAACTCTACACGCTAGAACACGCACACACGCTTGCACGGCTTAGGAACGTGCGCGGGCTTATACGAAAAGGCTTAGCGAACGGGACCCGATGACGCCATCGCGTTCCACTCTTAAAGGCGAAGCTTAAGGGGGCTCAAAGCTTTTTTTTTTTTAATAAATTAGGGAAACACAATTTGTGTGTCACATGAGCAGGAAGGGGAAGGAGGAAGGTAATCAAGTGGGGAAGGAGGAAGTGCATTGTAGGGATGGAGAGGGAAAGACTAAGCGGAGGGAGGGGAAGGGAAGTGAGGCATATGGGGAGCGGGAGAGGGAACTGTAGGAGGTTGAGGAGAGGGATTGCGAAGGAGGGAGGCGGAAGGAAAGAGAATTGCTGTGTCACATGACGCATATTTCCGCGCTCTATTTAGCGGGGAAATTGATTGGGTGTGTCACACGTCCCATAAGGGAGGAGGGGCAAAAAGGGAGGGGAAAAGGGGAAGGGGGAGGGAGGTATCGCAGGAGAATAGGGGACGGATAGGGAAAGAAAGGAAGGGGAGGGGAGTGTCAGTAATTGGAGGCAGATGAGGAGCGAAGGTAAAGAAGGCAGATGTTGAGAAAACCGTAGAGGGGAAGGTATGGAGAGAGGAAGGGAGGGGGAAGTAAGGAGAGGAATAGGGACAGGGAATTCGTGTATCACATGAGGTATACTTATCTACTAGATTTCACACAGAAACCGAATTGGTGGTGAGGTCATGTGACGTCAATTTCCAAGCTAAATCTTGCGGGGAATCTCCATTTTAAGCTGCAAGAAGCAAATCTTCCCGCTAAATTTAGGAGGAAAACTCGATTGACGTGTGGGTCACGTGACGTCAGTTTTCCCGCAAAAGATAACCGGACATTTACGTACGGACGGACGGACGGACAAGTAAAAAGTTGAGATTCGGGGATTCGGTTACAAAGCATTTCATGCTTGAAAAGTAATTCTTCGTGAAATCACCATCGACTAACTTGAGCTGGATGATATTCGCAATTTCTTCTTGAACGGCTGACACCATTCACATACCTGAAAAGCAACAACAACAAGAACAAGCGACGAACGCTTCGCTGAGGGTGTGGTCCGTACTGAGGCGGGCGGTCGGGACTGGGAAGCGTCAAAGATGGCGCTGTGCCTCTGATAGTCCGCGCAGCCGCCGACAGATCGCGCCAAGGTCTTTTGCAACCATTTTGCTGATGATCAACTCAGCACTATTTGCCACTACAAGTACATTTTGTTTTTCTCGTTCATATGTCATATGATACATTTCTCAAGGTTCGTAGATTGCACCCAGTATTGTAGGCATTACCAAAAAAAAAAGTTTTTGCATTACTTTTTCTTAAATATAAAATAACACGTTTTGATGTGTTGACGTTACAGGTATGCATGAGCGCCATATTACAAAAACTATTATGTCCATGCCGAAACCGAACATAATGAATTTATATTTTTACGGTTTCGCCTAAATACTCACAAGAAATCATAAAACTAAACTCGCAAAAAAAAAAACACTAAAACAATTACATGGCTTGACGTTTAAAAGCACAAAACAAATTAAGGTGTATTTTTTTTTTTAATTTCGGGAAGAAATAATTTTGAGTAACGTAACTCAACTACCTGCTACTCGAAATAAGTAACGGATACATTACACGTTACCGAAGAAAGTGACGCGTTACCGCCAACACTGATTGCACCTCAAAGTAACATTGATTGGTGCACACAGAATTACTCGATCTCTCCGTTCGACGTTAAACCCACCTCAGCCGTCACAAGGTTCCGATGAAACTAGCCGAGGGTTTTAGTGAGTCGTTCCGATGCCTCCGACACCCCCAATAACGATACGAGACATGCGCAAAGGCGGCGACAGACTTTCGAGTACCACTATCCAAGTCATCAGAACGATCTACTAAAACACGCCATTGACGCCAAAGGTCAAGCCGCAGCCGCTTTCTTCTATTCGTGATTGGTTGAACCGGTGAAAGCAAACCCATAAAAATAACGAGCGGCATGGCACCGCAGTTTCGACGCCTTTGATTGGCTCATTGGAGCGTAGCATTGGCTGCGGTCAGAGTAGGCATTCTTCAGGGTGATTTACACGCTTGCGTCGAGTCCGGCCAAATGCACCTGCAACGGGTTGTGAAGTACGGGTTGCTATGGCAACAGCCACGTCGGCTCCCAAAACCGGTTTTTTACACCGATCTCTATTGCAGTAGGCTGGATCGCTGATCGGGTGTCCGTCAGTGGCACCACCGGTGGCCATTACTTGACACCACGCAAGACACGCGAGTCTATGAGAGAAACACTCAAGAGTAGAAAAACTAAAGCTCGTACGCTGTGCTCCCAGCCGAGTATTTCATGATGTGCTGCGATCATTACATCGGGTGTTCGGATTTCGAATCAGTAATTGCCAAGCGTTCGAACGCCAATTTAAAAAAAATCAAACGTGTCCGATCACCCACACCTGAGCTGGCAAGCGCCTGCACTCGTAGTGCAGTAAAGAAAAGAACTTGGCGTCAATAAGACCGTCCTCGGGGAAGCCCAGAAGTTGAAAAATGTCGAAAAAGATTCATCTTAAAGGCGGCTTTCCGGGATGAGCGAATTCCGCGTAGCAAAGCCTTCAAGCGTGTCGTCTGCTAAGGCCAACTAATCAAAACCGACTAAGCCGTTACTAGGTAGCTCTTTCCTGATTGAGCTGCACTACATTTTTCGACCAGCGGAGTCACTCTTGACCACAAACATTTATTTGCAAGAACTGCGAGAGCTGTCAGTTTTAATATTTGTGCACAAAGCTATTTGACAGAAGATAACGTAATAAGGCAGGCGAGCTGGTTAAAGTTAAACATTTCTAAAACCCAAGAGGGAGGCTACAAAAGGGGGACAAATACAAGACGTCTCAAACAGAGCTACTAAAATTTTATTCAGGAGGCCTCTCTTATATCCGTCATCTTCACACCGCCCTCCAATTGCACATGGCCAGAAGGTTCGCTACAGTTCACACCCGACTACACAAAAGAGAGTCATAGGGTTAACAGCAAACACGAAGAAGACCTTCTCAGTACGTATACACAATTCGCTAGGTCACTTCCGACCACCAACAAAACCTCCCACCACGCCTTCCTAAAAACAAAATGTTTAAGCGTCGACAACAGCTTAAAAACGAGGGAAACCGCACTTTTTCTCGTCTTCCCCATAGAGTCCAGTGCATTTGCTGGTGTCAAGTTATGGCTCCCGGTGGTGCCACTCGAGCTAAGTAAGACAAGCCTCGATTCGCGTTCCCGCCTACTACAAAATTGCCGAGGACACTTAATAACTTCTTATGAGTTGTGAATACGAAAGCATTAATGTCCAATTGAACGCCGCTGAGTGCTCCCTCGACTTTTGCGCTGCGAATTATGTTTTCGAGGTTTACTGCGGGGTATGTTTTAGAAATTTAGAGTTTTGCACTTAAATAGCTGCCGGTTATTCTTGCTAAAGCATGAACTCATTTTGTGTCCTGGCGTGCTGCGCCGCTACTTGTTCCGCCGCCGTGTATTCGGAGACTTGATAACGATGGTGGGTTTCGCAGCCTTCCTCTTCACTGGTCTTGCTGCGTTCTTCCGCTCCCATAGTTCGTCTGCGGTGTAATGGAGTGGACGGCGACGTTTCGCTACCACCGAGGTTGCGGCCGCCGGCGATATACTTATATGCTTCAAGCGCCGCCATGTTCCTCGGCGTCGAAAGGATCAGACGCGGGCGCAGCGTCGGCAGGGTGTGCGGCGGTGTGCCGTGCAGACCGCGCTGGCTCGCTGGTGACTGATGCGCCGCTCGGTGAGACAGCGGCGGGAGTGCGAAGCTCGGCGCGGCGCCGGGAGTGCGAAGCTCGGCGCGGCGCGTGCGGAAATCACGGGTCTTATCATCATCATCGCCCTAGCTGCGGGTACCCGTTGGCGACGTTAGAC